TTGGAGGAACTAGGGGTTGATCACGTGTAGCGCAGCATGTAGTATGTGTCACGTGCGCGCTGCTGGCATCCTGTATTTAAGCTCTCGTTCCTCTGGAACTCTCTTCCTTCCTCACTTTGTTGTTCGCTCAATACAGCAGTTTCCGTTTGACTCCGTATTCATCACAGCAAGCAGTGGTTCACTCCACACGGTTACAAGTACCTTAATCTAGAGGCTAATTAAAATTAGTTCAAGAACAAATTAAAGATAAACTTAGATCCTAAGTATTACTACTAAATATTAGGGATAAAGTTAGATATAATATTTAGAATATAAAGTAAGATACTATTTAAAAGAGTAGTAGTAGCTAACTAATATATACCGCACCCTAATTAGTTAAGAGGTTCTAGAAGGCTCTTCTAACTAATTATAAAACGTCGCTTAGGTAAAGCACAGGCCACATAACATATAAAGGAACGTTATCTAAGCCAAGGGGTTCAGCCTAGTACGCTCCTGGCATGTTCCGTAACATATATACCTATAAAGGTGTTATAAATCTTTATAACTATCTATGTATCCTAGGGCTCTGGATTTCGGGGTTTTCAGGAAGTGGGATTTGAAATGAGGTAGGTATTTATTATAACCTACTCGTACTGTACAAAAATAGTCCAAAACGTCTGAAAAGTGTGGAATTCGAAGAACGACCGTTAATGTTTCTGTTTTGTGAAGAGATCTGGTTGTTTTGATAGGCTCGAGTACTAAGCTTGATGTAGGAGATTTGGGGGAGTGAGTTATGGCTTGTGATGCATGGTTATTTGTATACATAGCCTATGTTATACAAAAACACCATTTGAAGTTTGCCCTCGTCCATGTCCTTATCTCACGAAACTCATGCATCCTGGTATAGACGTTTTCTATGCTACGAGTTGATATCGATATCGATATCGATATCTGCCCAGCCATAATAAGACCTCAATCCTTCCAACTTCCAACTGTACAAAAACCTAATCTTCATTCTCTCTAGATGAAGTAGAACCTACAATACCACCTCGCTAAACCATTCCCCAACCTTTCTAACAACAAAAATTCAAAACCAGCCTCTTCTTCTCTGCATTCGACACCAATAACTCCAATCACAAAATCCTCCAAGAGAGTAAGCTATAACAAGCCATAAATCCCAGGCGCTCCCCATGATATCTTAGTAAGAGTGGTTTATTTCTGTTTTCGGGTAGGAAGGGTTTAAATTGTACAGATACAGTTAGAGGCTCTGAGGTAGGTGAGGAAAGGGGAGTAGCCTGTAACTCGCTTATTAGAGTTTCTTGTTCGGGGGTCTTAACTTCTATTTATTGGTATTTTGTTAAAATCATCGCCTGGGACATGGCGCTGCATGACGTAAGATATGCTCATGGAAAAGGGAATCAAAGAAACCAAAAACCGAGAGTCCAAGAGACCTGTTACCCATCACAAGAAGCAACCTTGAGTGTGAATCCGCTATTATTTATTTCTCATGTATACCAAGACGCTAATACCTCCAACCTACCCCCTTAAGATACGATACAAGACTTCTTCTTATTCCCATTCTTCTTTTTCTTTTGCTTCTTTCCCTCCTTTCCGTTCTGTAGAGCCGTTAAGCCTGGGGTTAGGTTAGCTCCAGAATCCGGAGTGTTGATGTTGATTTCGACTGGCTGGACGATTTTGGATTGTTGCGAAGCGGAAGCCTCCTCACCAGCCTCGAGAGCTTCGCAAATAGCACCTAAGGAATAGGCATAATAGAATCCGCTTATCCACGCAATGCCTCTGTCCCAACTTCTTCGTTCTCGACATTCCCCATACCACTCACACATAATTTGGGTTGCGTATGGAGCGGGTGGTTCTTCTCGGCTGTCGAGAGAAAGTTAGAAAATCTTCGGGAGATCATGGGAATTGGAGTCGGGAATAAAGGGTGCTGTTGCTTACAAGGCAGATCCGATATATATGGTATCACCCGCATATGTTTTCAACTCCTTCAAACTGCTTTTCAAATGCCCAAACTCTTTCGAAGGAGGCCCGATGCGACTGTTGACATAGCCATGTATACCCAATTTTTTGCCCACATCGGTCGCAAGGTAATGTGAGCTTTTCTCGACAAGGATAACTTTCTTCCCCCGCAATTGAAACTTCTGGAGAAGCAACAGCGCGTTCTCTGTAAGGTAGATATGTTCGCCAAATGTTTGTGTAAAGTCATCGGCAAGTTTCCTGAGCAGGTCGATTTTCATGTTCTTATACTCCTTGCTCTTCGTATCTATCGGGTAGACTTTTGCCATTGCAGAGACCCGATTGCGCGCATCATAATAATGATTTATCGGTTTTATATCGACATTTGCCGAGCGCGATGCTTTCATGGCGTCCGAATTCGCTTTGTTAAGCTGCTCAGGAGATCCCCATCCATTTAGAGTGCAACATTTATGGAGTTCCTCCACCACTCGTAGACAAGCAGCAGTAAAAGCTGTATTGTGATTGTAAAGAACATTCTCTAGCTCGATGACGATGGTCGACTTATTGTCGAGAAGTTTGCTGAGTGTCATGAAAGGGGGGTCGATGTTCACGTGGACCTCGGGTATAGGACTGTTGGGCGCCATTTTCATCACTTCATCGGAACCGGAGGATAGTTTCGAGTAATTTCTGCTCATGACCGACCGAATACTGGGAATAGACATGGTTGAGACTGGGAGGTGGGCTTTGCTATTAAGAAATGAAGTTTTGACGGTATAAATGATTGAAAGATAAGTTGAAGGATGTTTGTAAGAGAAACAAATGAGAAAACGAGAGTCGAGAGAAAAACAGCTACTGGCCAATTGACAAAGGGAAGGAGCTCTAGATACTGGCTGTACTTTTAAAGCATGCGCGTTTGGCTTCAAGCGTGGAATCATGGGAAGGCACAACTGACAACCATCGAACGTGGAAGGAACTGCTAGAAGCCACCACCCCAACATGATCTCTTGTCTCGCAGCGCGGCCTGATCTGAAAATCATGATTCTTGCCAAAATACCGTTGGGATTCAATCTTACTACGCTACTGGATGGCAATAACGTGGGGCCGTTTTGCACAAGTTTCTAAGCAGTCAACGTTGGCTAGGGTGTGATGCAAGGACTTTGATCGTTGTGAATAATTGATAATTGAAGAATTATATATCCTTCCAAAACCAGTTCTGAGCGTGGACCTTCCAGTTTGGATAATCAATCCTCTTTGAAAAAAAAAAGGCAAAAACATCTTTCTTTTCCTGGGAAGTGGCCACGGTATCTTTGCTCTGGATACTCATTTCAAGCATGAATAGCCCCTGTACTACCACAACCGCTTTTCTCGCTACTACTAGTCGAGTTCATATATTTCAAGTATTAAAGTAGCCCCTAACGCCGATATTATTTCTACTACTGAAATTGATATTACCCTTAGACATAACTAAAGCTATAATATACACACCCTCGAATCATAGCTGAGAAACTGTTTTACATGCACAAGTCAAACTAAATTTGACGTTTGTGTTTGGATTGCAGTAGTCTAAACAATATCGCCGGTTAGGGGATACTTCAGATATATAAACTCGACGAGTATTTATAGCAAAGGCGAATAGTCATTCTATGTCTACTGTAGTAAGCGACAAGAAATGCTTCAAAAAACAACAACCAAAGTCAACTAAATCCATAATTATACAAACCCCCACATACTGTAACAAAAAAAACCCCCTGTCCCACATAAAAAAACCACTGACAATCTTTCCAACCAACTCCAGGGCAAGATCCATTATAAACCGTTAACATCCCGTATATTAACTCACAACTTACATCGGATACGAAAGAGGAAATCTGAGGCTATAATAATCCACACATATCGCGACTCTTTATCTGACACAGACACTGGCACTAACATGATTAATATAGGATCACTATTACTATTAAGGTCTACAGCGTTCTTACGCGCCCGGTTACTCAGCAAATCAGCAAATCAAACCACAGCACACTTCCTCCATCGCATCGCTTAGAGAAGATGGAATCGTACGGTAAGATTACACGCTACGTTCGATGAATTCATGATCAACGTGAACTTTTCTGGTCAAGAAAAAGTCCCCGTCATAAATAGACCTCATGAATACGCTTCTTCAGATCTATTTAGTACCTACCTACTCTACCAACTCACCAAAAAACAAAAATAGGGTAAACCCCGCCCCATCCCGTCCACAAAAAACAGAAAGAAAAAAAAAGCCTTCTCTTCTGTAGACCAACTACAGCCAGCGGCTTCAACAACAACAAACCCCACCTGCATTTCCAAAATTCCCAAAATTCCCAAAATTTCCAACATTTCCAACTTCCAAGCCATCTACACCCGTACCCGCCAACACACACCTGCACCTCACATCCCCACAGATCCAGTCCGGTCCGGGGTACCTCACATTCATAACCAATCCAATAACCTGCATACACCACACCACACCACATAACCCCTTATAACATCCTCTCTATACCCTCCACCCTATCCCAGACCAGGGCCGGAAGCACAGTACGTACCCCTTCGGAAGACCTAGCGAGGCTCGTCCTCACATATTTATTCTCCGTCCCGCCTCACTGCCGGATGGTTCCTGACTGGTGCGGTGGGTGTGATCTGACTGCTTGTACTCGAGTAGAGTTACTGGTTCCTGAACCGACTCGGCCGATGGCTTACATAAATCTAGGTACTGCATGAGTAGCGAGACCAGACCCGCTGCAACCACGCAAGAAGAGTCCAGGCCAGGATATTTAAAATTACTCGAGTACTTACCTAATATAGCCGAGTTTGCGAATGCATCGAACCAAACCAGCTTAAATAGAATCAAATCAAATCAGATCAAATCAAGTCTGGATATCTAAAATCAAACTTATGATGACGTCCAAATAAGCTGCGCGACGGGAGAGTGTGCGTATCGATAAAGTTTACGGCCCAAGGTCGGTAAAGGGAAAGAAAAGGGAAAGTGGAAAAAAGAGTTTGTTTGCCAGCATGCTATGGTGTCATTGTGGGGATGTACTCGGTACTTGTATGGAATTCTTATTTTTGTTTTGATTTATATTTTTTGAGCTTGATGGGTGTATAATCGTAGAGTAGTGACACCACATGAACAGGTAGAGCTGCCAGCCAATCCCCTAGTCATGTTTTTCTTAATGTTCTGCCAATAAGAGGATCCGAAGCAGCATCACCGATACCCAGATTCCGAGATATTCCTGCTGTAGCTTTCATAATCCCCAATTCCTTCACAAATCCAAAATCTCAGAATAACCTCGCGTCTCAAGTTCTCGATTTACTATTTGAATTCAGATTCGCACAGAAGTTTAATCACTACTAATAGTACTCCCCCCACCCCCACTACTCTCACTCAAAACCTGCGTAAACACCACCTTCCCCCCAGCATCCAAAAACACCGCACTAACGACACTCAACCCCGGAAACGGCTCATAGACATACTCCAACTTGGTCGTCGCGCCGTTCCTCGAAACGGTCTTGTTATACCCATTGAATCTCATATCGTTCAAGTAATTCCCGACTTCGACGGAGCCAAGCACATGACCGTTGTTATCGAGGGATTGGTCGACCAAGGCACCGCTTTGGGAGAGAATCCGGTTGGTGTGCGTGTTTCCTGAGTAGTCGTTGACGCTGTAGAGGATGTTGTGTTCGAGCTCGTAGGATCGGCGGGAGACTGCTGAGGTGGAGGTTGAGGGGGTGGTACCGGAGGAGCTAGAGCCAGAGGAGCCAGAGCCTGTGAGGCCTCCGACTGTGGTGTTGACGATTTCTCCGACGTCTTGGCCGAGGGTTGTGATGAGGGGGTTTAAATCGATGCTATCGAGGACGTTGGTGATCATCAGGAGGAGATTGGATAATCGTGCTTCGAGGATGACATGAGCGTTGACGTCTTGGATGAGGAGTCGGACTCGGTCGATTGAGGCGTCTACTCCTGCATTGAAGGAGAGCAGACTTAAAACCTCTGCTTGCAGGTTGATTTTTGCCGTGATGTTTGTTACGGTGAGACTGATCTCGCCAACATGTACTGAAGCATTCAGGTACACATCAGGCTCTGGGACTAGAACTGAAGAATTCGAGGGCGTTCCGACGGTGTCGTAGATTGCTGAATCAGCATCCCCGGATTGTGAAAGGTTGTAGCCCATATACTGTGATTGAGCAATTTTGGATGTACACAAGATCAGGAATACGATCTTGTTGAGGAGAGCTTGAACCATAATTGCGAATTCGTCAGAAACCAAAGATTGTCGACGAGGTTGGTGAGGATGCTGCCCAAGAGAAGGGACAAGAGAGGGTAACAGCCATCTCGATATCAATCAAATCGAATCCCCTTGAATTGATACCCTTGAACTCTCCAAACCAAGGAACAGTATGGAGATCAAGGGTGTTGTTAGCGTAGTACTGGTTTTTGAAAACATTGCCAACTCTGATTGGCAGAAAATGATAGACCCCTCCATCAGTATCTGCATGCCGGGTAAGGATTGTGATGCGTTTTCCAGATTCCCGTGATTGCCCTTTAAAATCCCGGCCATGCTGGACCTTACCCCTGAAAGATCCCCTTGTGATGCATGAAAATGCATCTTTTTTTCAACTTTCAGGTTTTCTTTACCATAGAATATCCCCTGCAAAGATGTAATCAAATCTTAACCATGAAATCGAATCTGGCACTAGTCACGAAGCATTTCTGGCCCGGTCTCGAAGCTGGTACTTGGGCGCTGCGCTATTATGCCAGTCCATTCCTCTTCGCTGACTTGACTGTAGGTCTCTCATCGCCAGCTTCTCAGTTTTTGTTGTAACTGCTTGTAATTATGGCTTCCCGCTTGATGCTGTTGGTGCTTATTGCCTTTGCTTTCCTACAACTCGCATCTTCGCAAGTTGCCTCAACATCGGTAGCCCCCTCTTCATCAGGTGCTCTTCCCCCTACAAGTGCAGCTCCCACATCCTCTCGTGCTTCAACTCGCGCCTCAACTCGGGTATCAAATTCTTCGACCACACGAACATCGAGCAGCAGTGACTCAACCGGCTCTACTCCCCCAGATGTCCTTTTGAATGTCCCCAATCTGTCTGTTGGCAGAATAGAACTGGATGTCGACAATCTGAAAGCAGATATCAACTTGAATGCTGAAGTTGCAGGTCTTGTGAAGATCAATGCAGGAGTGGCACTCTCTATACAACGTAGGTTTCAGAACCGATTAAATCAGTAATGAGCTAACCTTTTCAACAGAGGTCAACCTTACCATTACCGATGTAGAGGCTCAATTAGAACTTATCGTTCGTCTTGGGCACTTGGTAGATATCGTGAACAGAGTATTTGAGTCTCTTGACTTGAATCCCTTGTTGATAAACGTTCTGAATGGTGTCACTGACATCGTGGATACCGTAATTGGAGCGGTGGACGGTTTGCTTGGTTCCATCACCCAAGGCGGAACAACGCTCAACTTCCTGGTGGACAACCTCGGAAATATCGTACAAGAAGTGGGAGGGGTGAGCTCGATTGTCGGCAACTACTTGAGCAATATGACCGACACTGGAGAGTCCAAGTCTCTTTCCAACGGCAATACCCAGAAGACGTATTCTTACTCGCCTTTGAATGCGTTGGTAGATATCGTATGTCATTCCCAGGTACCAAGCATATGAGAAAGATGGACTTGCTAACATAAGATGCAGGTATTCAACACCGCAGGACAGCTTGTGCAAGCAACAGTTCAAAAGAAGTCAGGAAGTGGTGGAAGTACCTCAAGTACTAGCTCCCGCTCTACAGCCGTCCCTAGCTCTACAGCCGTCCCTAGCTCAACAGCTGGTGCTAGCTCTACAGCTGTTCCGGCTAGTACAAATGTAGCCACTAGCACAAGTGCTTGAAGGGAGTTGAGATGAAGGAAAACTGGCAGGTGTCAATGAGCCAAAGACACCACGCGCTCCAGGCTCTAGCTTTGGAGATCATGGCGCAAAAAGAGGGGTAATGCGGTGCAAATATGATACCACACAATATAAATATGCTTATAATCAATTTCAAGAGCAATGCCAAAGGGATCATCGCCATTGATTATAGGTATAATGAAGTATCGAGATGGAATGTTTTCCTCGCTAGACTTGAACATGATGCTGCCCACAGAACTGCTCCAGTCAGAACGAGTGGGGTAGATATCAGACCTTACCCCGGGTCCCAATACACTGACGCCCCGGCGTCAGTTTAGAGCTGACTAAGCGCGGGTTTTCACGCCCCCCCACCACCGAAAT